CTTGAACTCCTGACCTCGTGATCCACCTGCTTCAGCCTCCCAAAGTGCTGGGATTACAGAAGTGAACCACCACACCTGGCCGGTTATTTCGTTATATGACCGCCATTTTCTTTTCTTTTCTTCTTTTCTTTTTATTTGAGACACGGTCTTGCTCTGTCACCCAGGATGGAGTGCCCTGGTGTAATCACTGTTCACTGTAGCCTCGACATCCCAGGTTCAAGTGATCCTCCCAACTCAGCCTCCCAAGTAGCTGAGACTATGCCTGGCTAATTTTTGTGTTTTCAGCAGAGACAGCGTTTTGCCATGTTGCACAGGCTGGTCTTGAACTCTGTGTTCAAGAGACCTGCTTGCGTTGGCATTACAAAGTGTTGGGATTATAGACATGAGCTATGGTGCCCAGCCTTACTATTTTCTGTATACACACATTTATAATGCTTCATAACAAAAAATCAGGACACAATATAACCACTATTTTGCAATTTTTTTGATAATTTATTTTACAAAAAATTTTGATAAATTATTTTGCAAAATATTTGATAATATATTAGGGGCATCTTTTCATGTGTGCATATAAAGAGCTAACAGTCTATTTTTATTTCATTTTTATTATTTATTTATGTATTTGTTTTGAGACAGGATCTCACTCTATAACCCAGACTGGAGTGCAGTGGCATGAACATGGCTTACTGAATCCTCAACCTCCCTGGCCCAAGCAATCTTCCCATCTCAGTCGCCAGTAGCTGGGACTTCAGATGTGCACCACCACACCTGGCTAATTTTTGTATATTTTGTAGAGATGAGGTTTCACCATGTTGCCCAAGCTGGTCTCGAACTTTTGGACTCAAGCCATCTGGCCACCTCTAGCTTTCCAAAGTGCTGGAATTATAGGTGTGAACCACTATGTCAACCTATTTTTAAATTTTATCAAGTGGAGAAAAAATTAACAAGAATAGAAACAACCTGAATACTATTATTGACAATTTTAATGTGATAGATTTAGAATCTCATATTCTACACAAATATATTGAAAACTTTGTATGTTACATTGTTTATAAATGCCTATAGGACATTTAAAAAAACTGGCTAAAAGACAAATGTTACAAAATTCCAAAAGGAAAAGAGTTCTTGTAGGACATATTATTTGATCATACTTTATTAAAACTAAAAAAATTAAATATCTAAACGTGGATATATTTTTAAAATTCTAGATAATTCTTGGCTTGAGTATATAAACAAATACTCCTAATATTAAAGAATAATGTACTGTGCTCATAAATATTTTATAGGAATGTAAAATCAGATAAATGTTAAGAAATGTATCAATGCAATTTTTACACTGAATAGATTAAAGAAGAAAAGCCATATTCTAGAGGCTAAGAGGGAATTTGATACAGCCATTCTAAATTTTAAAATCTTGATTAAATAGAAATGGAATGGAACTTAACACAAAAATGAATATACAAATGAACAAAGACCAATAAAGCCAGTTCCATGAAAGTCAAGAGTGAGATAACAATGCCCACCACCCTTAATATTTCACGAAGACTATTCTAAAAGGTCTAATCAATGCAATATGACTTTATTTTTTTTGAGATAGAATCTCACTTTGTTGCCCAGGCTAGCATGCAGTGGCTCAATCTCAGCTCACGATAACCTCTGCCTCTCGAATTCAAGCGTTTCTCTTGCCTCAGCCTCCCGAGTAGCTGGGATTACAGGTGTGTGCCACCATGCCTGGCTAATTTTTTTGTATTTTTAATAGAGACAGGGTTTCACCATGTTGGCCAGGCTGATCTCAAATGCCTGACCTCAAGTGATCCACCCACCTCAGCCTCCCAAAGTGTTGGGATTACAGGTGTGAGCCACCATGTCTGGCAATATGACATATATTGGAAAGGAAGAAACAGAATTATCATGATTTGCAGATGATAGGATGTTTATCTAGAAAATCTAAGAGACATTGCCCAAGAGTATGATTAGAATTTAAATAATTCAGTCAAGTGATCAGATAAAAGGTAAATACATTGAAGAAATAATTTATTCATTAGCAATAATGAATCAGAAAATAAAGGGAAAAATTGTGATTCAAAAAGCAAGCAGGTTAAAAAGCATAGTTCCTTGTAGATGGGATGTTATAGAAATAAGCTGTAATAATCTTAGTTATTGATTTTATAGATTTTTAGGGGTGAAATTACTGAGACAAAAGATACAAATATTTTTAAGCTTCTTGATGCATATATTCAAATTATTCCCCAGGCTGGAGTTCAATGGCCTGATCTCTGATCACTGCAACCTCCACCTCCTGGGATTAAGTGATTCTCCTGCCTCAGCCTCCCCAGTAGCTGGGATTACAGGCATGCGCCACCATGCCTGGCTAATTTTTGTGTTTTTGATAAGATGGAGTTTTGCCATGTTGGTCAGGCTGGTCTTGAACTTCAGACTTCAAGTTATCCACCTGCCTCGGCCTCCCAGAGTGTTGGGATTACAGGCATGCCCAGCCTCTTTTAACTTTTAATTGAAGTATAACATGCATATAGACACTTTGGGAGGCTGAGGCAGGTGAATCACTTGAGGTCAGGAGTTCAAGCCCAGCCTGGCCAACATGGTGAAATTTCACCTCTACTAAAAACACAAAAATTAGCCAGGCATGGTGGTGGGCACCTGTAGTCCCAGCTACTTGGGAGGCTGGGGCAGGAGAATTGCTTCAACCTGGGAGGCAGAGGTTGCAGTGAGCCAAGATCATACCATTGCTCTTTAGCCTAGGTGACAGAGCAAGACTGCCTCAAAAAAGAAAAACAAAACAAGATAAAACAAACAAACAAAAAAAACCCATGCAGATACAAAAGCAATGCATATAGAAAAAACGTGCATATACAAAGCTGGTCATCAGTGCACAGATCAAGAAAGAACCTTTCTAGTACCCCAAGAACCCTTCGCGTGTCTCCTCCTATTCCCTAGCCATCTTCCTCCCCAGAGTGTTTCTGACTTTTAACAACATAGATTAGTTTTGCCTGTTTTGCAATTCATATGAATAGAATCATACATAAGTACTCTTTTGTGTTTGGATTCTCTTGCTCAGCATTATGTTAATAAGATTCATCCCTCTTTGCTCAGGTGGTTGTAGGTTACTTGTATTGCTGTATAGTATTTCATTGTATAAATAGACCACAATCTTTTATTCTTCTGTTGATGGGCATTTGGGTAGTTTTCAATTTGGGGCTATTACAGAGTGCTGCTTTGGGGGTCATATGGAACATTTTGAACCCAGCACTACTATGGTATCTTGAAGAGAAGTGACTTTTAGCACATTGGCTTATAGTCTTCTGAACTACAGATACTGGCACATTCATAGTGGGTCCTGTCAGCAGTGGCAGTGGTATAGCAGCACCCTTAAATGGCTTCGTGAATAGAGGGCATTGAAAAGAGGGAACCAGAGCAAAAAAGGAAGAAAAAGATGGATGCCGTATGAAGGACTATGACTGACAGACTGGTTCATGAGCCTACTGAGACAAACCTGTCATGAACTCCAGGCTACTGGCTACTGATAGGAATATAATTTTAAATTAGAACTACAACCAATAGAGATCTGGAAACATCTGAGTTGCCCCCATTTTTAACGTTTAAGTTCAGGGGTACAGGGGGGATTTGTTATATAAGTAAACCTGTCGTGGGGGTTTGTTGTACAGATTATTTCATCATTCAGGTATTAAGCCTAGTATTCATTAGTTATTTGTCCTGACCCTCTCCCTCCTCCCACCGTCCACCCTCTGATGGGCACCAGGATCTGTTGTTCCCCTCTATGTGTCCATGTGTTTTCATCATTTAGCTCCCACTTATAAGTAGGAACATGCAGTGTTTGGTTTTCTGTTCCCGCATTAGTGTGCTAAGGATAATGGCCTCCAGCTCCATCCATTTTCCTGCAAAGGGCATGATATTGTTCTTTTTTATGGCTGCATAGTATTCCATGAAGGATATGTACCACATTTTTTTAATCCAGTCTACCATTGATGGGCATTTATGTTGATTTCATGTCTTTGTTATTGAGAATGGTGCTTCAGTGAATGTACACATGCACATGTCTCTATGATAGAATGATTTATATTCCTTTGGGCATATATCCAATAATGGGATTGCTGAATCAAATGGTAGTTCTTTCTGTCTTTAGGTCTTTGAGGAATTGTCACACTGCTTTCCACAATGTTTGAATTAATAATTTACACTCTTATCAACAGTGTATGTGTTCCTTTTTCTCCACAACCTTGCCACAGTCTGTTATTTTTTGTCTTTTAAATAATAGCCATTCTGACTGGTATGAGATGGTATCTCATTGTGGTTTTAATTTCTCTAATGATCTGAACACAGGAACCAGCAAAGATTTCATGATGAAGATGCCAAAAGCAATTATAACAAAAGCAAAAATTGACAAATTGGATCTAATTAAACTAAAGAGCTTCTGCACAGCAAAAAAGCTATCAATAGAATAAACAGACAATCTACAGAATGGAAGAAATTTTTTACAAACTATGCATCTGACAAATGTCTAGTATCCAGCATCTATAAGGAACTTGGATAAATTTATAAGAAAAAGACAACTCCATTAAAAAATGGGCAAAGGACATGAACAGACACTTTTCAAAAGAAGACATACATGTGGTCAACAAGCATATATATGAGTTCCCCTTTTATTATTTGCTATGAGGGAATTGTGTCTTATTAGTTTTTGTGTCCCAGCACAAAGCCTGACACCCAGCAACTGCTAACAAAATATTTGTGGATTTATTTAATGCGAGTTGGGAGGAGGTGGAGAACAGAGGGTGGGGAGCATCACATATAAATGCACATGCTTCAAATGTGATGATCTCTTCCTGAGGTGATCAGACCAAAAATACAAAACGGAAACACGATCTGTGCCATGAGTCCTGGCCCTTTTTGCTTCTGCCAGCGTGTGTGAGGAGATGCAGAGGCAAATTCCGTGGCAGTTAGAAAGAGAACTGGCGGCCAAGATGGAGCGGAGGGAACATTTAACCTTAACTTTCCACAGTCCTGAGGTTCCCAAAATAAAGGGGGACCGGAAATACCAAAGGGTGAGGAGGAACATAATTGAAAGTCAGATGGGAAGAAGAGGACTTACTTAAAGGCGGGGCTAGACTGAGCATCCTAAAGACAGAAAAGATCACCCTGAAAATTGTGTGTGTTTTTTTAGGAGTAGGGATAGATATCCATAAATCAAACACACATGGGAATGCTTGAGGTAGAGAAGAGTAGGTGACCCGGGGGATCAGAGGTTATCCTTTCGAGTAGGCAATATTTCCCTCATCCTTGTAGCCTACCCTCCCTGCCAAAAAACATCCAAGTGCCTCGATGTCATCTCAGAGGCGGCAGCAGCATGTGGTTCAGACACACATCTACATCCGAATGCTCTGTGGCAGCCTTTGTAGTTTTAGCCTCTTAATGCTGATCGGCATGTCCCCACTGAACTGGGTGCAGTTCCTGGTGAACAGGAATGGCCTTGAGCTCTACGCAGGACTCTGGACCTTATGCAACCATGAGCTGTGCTGGAGCCACACACCCAAGCCACCCTGTGAGTGACACCAAATTAAATGCCACAGGCCCCCCACAATTTCAGAGCTTTCTGTTCACACAAATCGGCCCTTCATCCTTCTTCCTCCAAGATCTTTTGGCCTTCACCTCTCCAAGTGCAGGATGGATCTCAGCCAAGTTGTCAATGTAGTCATTTCTTTGGTATCCTGAGTGTACCCTTTTTCCCTCCTATTCTAGATTGTTTTCAGTCCTAAATAATGGGTTATACTCTCTTTACTCTATGGGAAGAACTGTTTGTTTGTTTGTTTGTTTGTTTTTTAGAGACAGGATCTTGCTCTATCACCCAGCCAAAGTGCAGTAGCACTATCATTGCTCACTGCAGCCTCCACCTCCAGGGCTCAAGCAATCTTCCCACTCAACCTCCTGAATAGGTGGGACTACAGAGGTGTGCCACCACACCTGGCTAATTTTTAAAATTCTTTTCTAGAGACAAGGTCTCATTATGTTGTCCAGGCTGGTGTCAAAGTCCTGGCCTCAAGTGATCCTCCCAAAGTACCAGGACTATATGTGAGCCACCATACCTGCCCTAGGAAAAACTCTTTTGTCATTTACAAGGTGTTACTGCTAAGCATTGTGATTGATATTCTAATGTGTCTTGCTAAATTAGAAGAGAAGTGACAGATCAAAGCTGGAAGATAAGCAAATATCTTAACCTCTGTTACATTTAACATTCAAGGTCAGCTTGTTCTTCTAGCAGTGGAAGAGAACTTAAATCTAGGTTAGATATGTGATACAAGAAATGCCTGCTATGAAGATAATATTTATGTCAAATTTTATGTGAATTTAAATAAATCTGAAAGTGCAACACAACATATTTCAAAATAAGTTTTTGATTGGGAGGCTGCAGCGGGTGGATCACGAGGTCAAGAGATCGAGACCATCCTGGTCAACATGGTGAAGCCCATCTCTACTAAAAATACAAAAAATTAGCTGGGCATGGTGGCGCGTGCCTGTAATCCCAGCTACTCAGAAGGCTGAGGCAGGAGAATTGCCTGAACCCGGGTGCAGAGGTTGCGCTGAGCCAAGATTGTGCCATTGTACTCCAGCCTGGGTAACAAGAGCGTAACTCCGTCTCAAAAAAAAAAAAAAAAAAAAAAAGTTTTTGGGGCTAAAAATATCATATGCATGAGTTTTCCAATCAAATCAAAAACTTAGAGGAAAGATAACATTACACTGACAGTTTTCCCATCATTCACAAGACAACAAATTTACACAAAGAAATTTATATCTTGTGGGTGATGGAAAATAAAAGATGCTGGCTGTCCTCAGCATCTTTATGAAAATACACTGAGTAGGCATCAGTTGGGCACAGTGCTGAGCAAGGCACTAATGATAACAGTAAGAAATTATAAGGTTTCTATCTGGCGTTATAAAGAGGGAAATGCTATTAAAAGAGGGAAAATATGTGATGTGTGTATTCATCTGTGTTAGCATAGACTATGTCTCAAAGTGCATCTATGAAACCAGGGCCTATGGAGAAAAATATTGGGTGGATATTGTGAAAGAAAACATGTATAAGTAAACCATCTAATCTTTCATGTAAGCAGGAGTCCCATCTATTCTACTCACATAAGCAGGAGGGGAGCACCTGAGCCCTACTCTGAGGTAGAGCATCATTTATTCGGCCGTGGGATGTGACATTTGAAATTAAGGGGCAGTATCCTGCATGATCTTGAGAAGAAACTAAATCAAAGGCAGGCAGACAATTCAATGGTATAAAAAGAAAAACTAGAGGAAATATTTGCAGCAATTATGAAAGATAAAGGTTAATGGCCTTAATATAGTAAAAGGATACACAAAGTATTAAAAAGACAAAAACTCAAATAAATGAGTTCTCTTTGAACAGACATGCACAAAACAAGAACTATTACTGTCTAATAAACATAGTAAAAGTAATTTAATCTCAATCAATCATTAAAGAAAGGTAAATCAAATGAATAACAAGATGCAACTTTTCAACCAGCACATTAACAGATTTTTAAATGATAATGCAACTGCTATACACTCCCATACACATTACTGTACATACCATGCAATGGTATAACCAAACCAATATGATTAGGTATATCCAGAGACTTAAAAATGTTCACCTCCGGCCAGGCGCAGTGGCTCACACCTTGTAATCCTAGCACTTTGGCAGGCTGAGGCGGCAGATCACCTGAGGTTGGGAGTTCGAGACCAGTCTAGCCAACAGGGAGAAACCCTGTCTCTAGTAAAAAATACAAAATTAGCCGGGCATGGTGGTGGATGCCTGTAATCCCAGCTACTCAGCAGGCTGAGACGGAAGAATTGCTTGAATCCAGGAGGTGGAGGTTGTGGTGAGCCAAGATCATGCCATTGCACTCCAGCCTGGGCAACAAGAGTGAAACTCCATTTCTTTTTTTTTTTTTTTGAGACGGAGTTTCGCTCTTGTTACCCAGGCTGGAGTGCAATGGCGCGATCTCGGCTCACCGCAACCTCCGCCTCCTGGGTTCAGGCAATTCTCCTGCCTCAGCCTCCTGAGTAGCTGGGATTACAGGCACGCGCCACCATGCCCAGCTAATTTTTTGTATTTTTAGTAGAGATGGGGTTTCATCATGTTGACCAGGTTGGTCTCGATCTCTCGACCTTGTGATCCACCCGCCTCGGCCTCCCAAAGTGCTGGGATTACAGGCTTGAGCCACCACGCCCGGCGACTCCATTTCAAAAATAAAAATAAACATAATAAAAATAAAAAAAAGTTCATCTCCTTTGAGTCAATAATTCCATTTCTAGAAATTAATTCCAAAGAAATAACTAGAAATGGATTAAAATATTCAGGCAAAAAGATTAAGCTGCAATCATATTTATGTAACTGGGTGCCCAGGCTAGAATTTAGGCCTTAGATTATTATTTAAATCTTTAATAAATTAGGGCTGGGTGTGGTGACTCACACCTATAATCCTGTTACCAGAAAGGGGTCCTGATCCAGACCCTATAAGAAGATTCTTAGATCTTGGGCAAGAATGAATTTGAGGTAGGTCCATAGAGTAAAGTGAAAGCAAGTTTATTAAGAAAGTAAAGGAATAAAAGAATGGCTACTCCATAGGAAGAACAGCCCCGAGGGCTGCTGGTTGCCCATTTTTATGGCTATTTCTTGCATATTCACAAGGGGTGAATTACTCATAAATTTTCTGGGAAAGGGATGGGCAATTCCTGAACTAAAGGTTCCTCCCCTTTTTAGATCCTATAGGATAAGTTCCTGACATTGCCATGGCAAACTGTCACGGCACTGGTGGGAGTGTCTTTCAGTGTGCTAATGCATTATAATTCACATATAATGAGCAGTGAAGATGACCAGAGGTCACTTTTGTTGCCATCTTGGTTCTGGTGGGTTTTGGCTGGCTCTTACCACAGGCTGTTTTATCACAGCAGTGATATGATATTTTATGACCTGTATTTTGTGCTGACCTCCTATCATCCCGTGACTAAGAATGCCTTAACCTTCTGGGAATGCAGCCCAGTGGGTTTCAGCCTTATTTTACCCAGCTCCTATTCAAGATGGAGTTGCTCTGGTTCAAACGCCTTTGACATCAGCAATTTGGGAGGCTGAGGTAGGGGTCGCTTGAGCTCAGGAGTTTGAGACCAGCCTGAGCAACAAGACGAAACCCTGTCTCTACAAAAAATATAAATATTAGCTGGGCGTGGTAGTGGGCACCTGTAATTCCAGCTCCTCAGGAGGCCAAGGTGGGAGAATTGCTTGAGCCTGGGAGGTAGAGGTTGTAGTGAGCTGAGATTGTGCCACTGTACCCCAGCCTGGGCAAAAAGAGTGAGACCCTGTCTCAAAAGAAAAAAAAAACTTTAATAAATTAGAATCCTGAAATTATGTCACTTAAAGCAGTTTATTTCTTGGAGCCCTGGATTCACCTTTATGCAGATAAAGAAAATCAAGAAAATTAAGCTCCAGTCACTCAGATTTTCTAGAGTCACTTTGTCACTCATCTTTGTTTATGCTTTGTTTTATCTTTACAGAGTATAATTGTTTAGAGAAAGTCAACTGAGTCCTTAAGGTACATAATTATAAATTAAGTATCCACTTTATTTTCCATGTTGTTATAACTAGTTCTAATTCAAGAGTCAGTAATTGGGCCGGGCGCGGTGGCTCAAGCCTGTAATCCCAGCACTTTGGGAGGCCGAGGCGGGTGGATCACGAGGTCGAGAGATCGAGACCATCCTGGTCAACATGGTGAAACCTCGTCTCTACTAAAAATATAAAACATTAGCTGGGCATGGTGGCACGTGCCTGTAATCCCAGCTACTCGGGAGGCTGAGGCAGGAGAATTGTTTGAACCCAGGAGGCGGAGGTTGTGGTGAGCCGAGATCGCGCCATTGTACTCCAGCCTGGGTAACAAGAGCGAAACTCTGTCTCAAAAAAAAAAAAAAAAAAGTCAGTAATTAGTCTGCAATACAGATCTCATAAGGAAGCCCCCAAAATGTAATCAAAATGTCCAGGCCTCATCTTCCTGTGACAACAATATAATGTTATTATTGCCTGAATGCATTATTATTATTGTTTGTTTATCTATTTATTTATTTTTGAGATGGAATCTCATTCTGTTGCCCAGGCTGCAGTGCAGCGGTATGCTCTTGGCTCACTGCAACCTCTGCCTCCTGGGCTCAAGCAATTCTTGTGACTCAGCCTCCCGAGTAGCTGGGATTATAGGTGTGCACCACTGCACCCGGCTAATTTTTGTGTTTTTAATAGAGACGGGGTTTCACCATGTTGGTTAGGCTGGTCTTGCTCTCATGACCTCAGGTGATCCGTCTGCCTCAGCCTCCCAAAGTGCTGGGATTACAGGTATGACCACTGTGACCGACCTTCGAATATATTATTATCTAATAATTATTGTCCAATTCAATGACTTCAAACTTTTACCTACCGGATTGTAAGAATTTAGCTCCCCTCCCTGACAGTTTCCTCAGTCATTTTCACAAGTTTCACAGGGGCTATCTCTGGTGTGTTCAAGAATGTGCATGCGCATATTCCTATTCGCTGGGCTCATTTCAGGGTGTTGTGCTTCTGTCTCTGACTTCACCTGGATCTAGATGACTGATAGCTTCTCTGCTGTGGCTGTTGCTAATGGGATGTTGAAGGGATGGGAGGAGAGGACACTAACCATCACTTTTACTAGGAAGTCTCAAGTGTAGAACAGACCCATCTGTTATTTTCCCATAGCACTGGTGAGATCAGGCTGAAATGTAAACGATATATTGCCACAGAGAGTAATTTGAACGGTTTTGCAGAGCGTAGGAAAGAAAGGATAAGCCTTTTTTAGTCAAGGCACTGGGCACTCTACAGTTAGTACTCTAGGAATACAATACACATTGGCAAGCTGTATAGGGATGCATCATTCTGGCACTCCAACTGGGTTACAGGGGAGCATAAATACTAAGCAGATTTCACAGACACCTCTTAAGGGTCCTAAGTCTCCACCAGGATCATTTCCATTTCAAAACCACCCCCTTTGGGCACCTCCTCTGAGCCTGGAGAAGTCATGTGTTGGCCTTCTCCACCTTGAATACAGTCACAATGGCAGCAGCATGGAAGTTCATATTTGGCTAAATAAGTGAGCTGATTCCCCAGCTTGTCTCCAGCAGCACCACTTTCTCAAAGCTCCCTGTCTAAGTCTTACCTCCATAACAGTAGAAGGAGATCCAGCCCATTATTTACAAACTGCCAAGTGGTGAATGTTCTCATTTCACTGAGATCTGAGGGGATGCCACAAAACACTACTGTTTTCTGGTTGGGTGGTGCCCCCTCCAATCTTGGTAGCTTTCACATCCTACCCAATGGTACTCTGAAGTGTGGCATTCCTAACTGATGCTGGACTGATCCTGAGAACACCTACAAAAATCTTACCAAGTTTTTCAGATTATTTGTACTTCCTCCCCAAACGGAAAGTGATATCCTTTCTCTTCCCAAGGTATTAGCTTCAGTAAGTTGGGAGGGGCGCCTTGGTATTCTTGTAACTTAAGTCCACATTAAAGTATATCACTAAGGAAAACTTCAGAAATGTTTGGATACAGTTGACCCACACAGGTGACACATGGGTGTTCATTTTATCTCAGGCACTCCTTTTTTCTAGACCAAGGCTGCTTACTGAAACATACAACCAGGGCCTTTTGTTACTTAGATCCTAAGATTTTTGAAACTTTGATGAGTAAGCTGCTGCAAAAACTGTTGTTTAAAAGCTGAAATTAGTTTTGGTGTTACCGGAGATGGAAGCTTGAAATCAGCTTTTGGACATTTATTTATTTATAGTAATATTAATTTAAAAAACTATAAAGTTAACCAAATGCAGATGTCTTAGACTCTGAATCTAAGTGTTAATTTGTTTATATAATTTGTTGTACATGATTATTCGTAATAGACTTGGTTACTTGGGGAATGTTAGACTCTTCTATGTTGCAAATCTTTAATTGTTCCTGTGGAGTTGTGAAGATCTCGTTTATGTAGTTTTCAGGAGATGAGATGGTAACACAGAGAGAACTGTAAGAAATACATAAAGTTGCAGTCTTCCCCTCATGGTAGAAGAGGGACTGGACTTTATACGTTAGACTGGAGTTGGACAGGAAATATTCTTGACAGTGCTTCTTGGTGTTTTGAATATTAGAATCATTTGAATTAGCATAAGCTAAAGAGTGAACTTATTTATAAAGATTCAGAAGAATCGTCCAGGTGTGGTGATCAAACCTGTGATCCCAGCACTTTGGCACGCTGAGGTGGGCAGATTGCTTGAGCTCAGGAGTTCAAGACCAGCCTGGGCAATGTGGTGAAGTCCCATCTCCACCAAAAATACAAAAAATTAGCTGGGTGTGGTGGTGCGCACCTGTGGTTCCAGATATGCAGGAGGCTGAACTGGGAGGATCACTTGAGCCTGGGAGGCAGAGGCTGCAGTGAGCAGAGATCACGCTACTGCACTCCAGCCTGGGTTACAGAGTGAGACCCCATCTCAAAGAAATAGATAAAGGAAAAAAAAAAAAGATTCAGAAGAATCACACAGACTCCCAAGGCAGGAAGTTCACTGTACCTTAGAGGATTCCAGAGGAGGCTGGGATTTCAGATAAAGAAAATCAAGCCAGCTAGTCACTCAGATTTTTTAGAGTCACGTTGTCACTCGTCGTTGTTTATACTTTGTTTTATCTCTACAGCTCAGTTTTTCCTGTTTATTAGTGTGTAAATGCCTAAAAGGTGATACTCCGGTCAAACTTTACATCTTCTCAGTTCAAGCAAGCAAAAGAGGAAATCCAAATCTCCAAGTGTAAGAATAAAATTGTTCCAGTATGGGTCAGGTTCCCATCCTTAGTCCAGTTTGCTATAGTCAGAGGGCCCAGGGCTAGAGACAAAGGCTGCTGGAGCCCATGGGGGACTGTGGACTAAATACCACAAAGGACGCCTGTTACCCTGGGCTTCACACAGCTCAATCTGGGCTTACGTACTAGCTGGCTACATATACTGCTAATTCTGAATAATCCAGTCTTCAGAAAATGTGCAGCTTGTGAATTATTATGTTTTAATGTGTCTCACTTGTTGGGGGCCACAGAGGAACTTAACCTCTGTGGGTAGGGGTGTGGTTTCTCTTAATGGAAATTCCTGTAATTCATTGTATTACTAAATGGCAGGTTCTAGAGAACAAAATGAAACAACGAGGCAGATATTAGACCGGATAAGCTTGATACATAATTTCTGCTCTCTGGGTTACTCAGAAGCTGGGCTTGGATTCTTAGGCATATAAGTGGTTAGAGAACTTTCAGTGGTGGGGGTGACTGGTCCCTGTTACATTGGGACAGAAAAAGAAGCTAGACAAGGAGCCACCTTATAAAGGATACTGAAGATATTCCTGGGTCTCTGATAGCTCAGAAAAGCTACAACTACTTGTAATTGTAAGTTACCTTCTAAATCTTCAATAAAATATTGCTGGGGAAATCAAAGGAAGAAACTGATCCATTGTAGGGATGTGGTAGCAAAAAGTAAGTTTGAGCACGTCCCTCCTGCTCTCTTACCAACATCCAGTCCACAGTGGGAAAGCCAAGGAGAAGACATCTAGATCCAAGACATGGAAGGAGAGGTGTGGCACTTGGATAAGGGCATTGGAGCAACTTGAACAAACATGATAGGACTTGGTGGGGACTCTCAGAATTTAAAAAAAAGGGAGACATTTTGTGGTAAGTTCCTGCAGTTTTGTAAATTGGAGCTTGAAATCATTGTAATATGGGAATTAAAGTAAATGTAGCTGGGTGCAGTGGCTCATGCCTGTAATCCCAGCACTTTGAGAGGCCAAGGTGGGTGGATCACCTGAGGTCAGGTCACTGACCAGCCTGGCCAACATAGTGAAACCCCGTCTTTACTAAAAAAATACAAAAATTAGCCAGGCGTGGTGGCATGCACCTGTAATCCCAACTACTCAGGAGGCTGAGGCAGGAGAATCACTTGAACCCAGGAGGCGGAGGCTGCAGTGAACCTAGATTGTGCCATTGCACTCCAGCCTGGGTGACAGAATGAGACTCCTTCTCAAACAAATAATAATAAAATAAATAAAGTAAATGTGACTTCATTTTGTAGTCATAGGCTGACAAGGCCTGTACATGCCAGATACAGCTGAAAGTGAAAGACAAATGGAACTAAGCAATGGGTAAATCATTAAGCAAAATATATTAATAGGATAGAATATTTTGTAGCCATTGAAAATAATATTTACAACAGATCTCTGGGGAAATCAAATTATATATTCTTAAGAAAAAAACCCACATGACATCTAGTATCATATCTACTATGTACAGAGGGTAGAAAAATAAAATATTAACAATGGTTTCCATTGGGGGGGTGGGTAAAAAAAAAGGTTTCCTCTAAGTAGTGGGATTGTGGTTGATTTTCTTCCTGCTTCTTTGTTCTTTTGTAGTCTTTTCAATACTTATGTTGAATGAGTATTACTTTTAGAATTAGAAACAAAAAGGTTTAATCTGTTTTGTCATTGGTCACACCTCTTATAAGCTAGTTTATATCTAAATCAATGTACACAGGAGTATTTGAATATTATCTTCATTTTAACAATCATAGTAAAGAAATTCCAAGCAAAAAGGATGCCACGTAGCAAGCTCTGCTCCATCCTCCTTTGTCCCTATATCCTTCTCTAAGAGTCTATCTGGCTTTCTTAAGGGAAGGTCCCTCACTGGACTAACCACACTCTTCCTTTTCTCTTCTTCATGCAGATTATCTCCAATATTCCAGGGCCTTCTTTCTCATCTCTATCTTCACCATACTCATTAGCCTTGGCTGGCTCTTCAGCTCTTGCCTCCCTAGTAGAGGAAGCATGACCACCAACTTGGATCTGAAGGTATCCATGCTCAGCTTCATCTCAGGTACAGACCGAGACTGGCAGGGAATACCATGGTAAAATAGTCAAGGTAACAAAGTTTCTCCATGAAACTCTCATACTCTTTTTCTTATCTCTTTGCTCTTCTTCAGTATCCCGTCAACTCGCCAGCTACCTGCCTTATCTAATTATATAGCACACATCTTAGCTGACTTTACCAGGGTATAAATCCTATTCTCTCATCTTGGTCAATCCCCAAGTTTTTATCTTTTTGATCCTTGCCATACATATGGCCTCTGGAGGCCAAAGAGCTGGGTGGTGGCAGGGAAGGCAGACTGAAGATGCTGATGGATTATGACATCTTTCCTTCTGGTCCTAGCTACCTGCTTGCTCCTCTGTCTCAACCTGTTTGTGGCACAGGTTCACTGGCATACTAGGGATACCATGGAGTCAGATTTCCTATGGACCTATTATCTTAACTGGTGCAGTGACTTCTTTTACACGGTTGCTGGTGAGTTACTCCCCTGCTCTATGCTGGAAGGATGGATAGGGAAATCACTTCTGGAAAGGGAGGCATAATCTAGGAGAAATAGAAGCACTGACTGTTCCTTTTCAGAACACCGATATTTGGAGGGTCAGTATGGTGTAATGAAGAAAGGGTGGATTTTGGAGTGTGAAAACCTAGCATTAGCAACTTGTTATATCACAAAGTGAGGCATGGACAAGTTGAGAAACTTAGGCAAGACCACACAGAAAATAGTGGAACAGAAATCTGAATCCGGGAGGTTCAAGTTTTGTCCTAACCAGTCTGAGAAATACTATAATGCAATTGGAGCACAGGAGGGTAAAATAACTCTGCTGGGGGAGAGAAGGGTTCACTGAAAAGATGCCTCTTAATGTGGTTATTAAAGGATGGGTAAGAATTTTAAAAGCCAAAAGACCATTACCTATTGAACCTGACCTCAAATTATTATCTTCCCCTAGGGATTATCTTTCTTCTCAACTACTTTACTTCCAGATCTCCTACCCATGATCAAAGTATCACTGTGATTCCAACAGAGATATCAAGGCTGGGGTTTGGTCCAGTGACTACAGTATCACCTGCTAAAAATGAAGGGCCAAGGTCTAAGATGAAATCTCAAAATGTGAGACAGAAAAATTTACCAAAGGCAGGACTGTGATGGTGATAGGAAAACCTAACTATTGCTTGTCTTAAAAGCAGGAGAGAAGCTGAGTTGGGAATGATTGCATAAATTCTTGGAAACCCTCCTAATATCATGTCCATATTTCTGGAGAAGACAGCATTAAAGCTAATGAAATGTCTTTTGTGTGCATTGGGTCAAAAATATGTATGATAGTCAAAAAGTAAGTAATAACTCACTTAAGAAAAATATTTCTTAAAAAAAAAAACAACAACATTGTTTAGAGTCATGAATGAAAGAAACTAGTGAAAGATGCAGTGTGTAGACCAGACATCTCTTTGGGTATCAGGGAACTCATGGACCGGAATGGCCCATGGAAAAGCACGTTAATTACTTCTGTTTGGAATTTTCTTTATTATATGTGGCTTTGGGTATACTCAGGATGGAAAGCACTTGGACAAATACTGTTGAATCTGAACTTGACAGCATACCAGAAATAGAACAAATATCAATGGATATAAGACCTACTCCTCAAAGGAACTGAGAGGTGCTGGGTAGATTATAGGGAATCCATGGGGTCTTATTTCCTGTGAGGATTGGTAATTTGAAATCTTTACGTAAAACCTATTACGTAAAACCACTGCTTCTCCCTAGGCAGGGAGCTACCTTAACCAGGCATCCATAAACTCCCTGAAATTCTATACAAAACTTGTATATGTATTCTTCTGTGAAGAGAGCCAGAGATTCCATCAGATTCTCCCCTGCCCCAAGAAGATAGGCTCATGTAAATTCCATCAAATTCTTTTTTTTTTTTTTGAGGTGGAGTTTCGCTCTTGTTACCCAGGCTGGAGTACAATGGCACAATCTCTGCTCACTGCTGCAACCTCCGCCTCCTGGGTTCAGGCAATTCTCCTGCCTCAGCCTCCTGAGTAGCTGGGATTACAGGCAGACGCCACCATGCCCAGCTAATTTTTTTTTTTTTTTGTATTTTTAGTAGAGACGGGGTTTCACCATGTTGACCAGGATGGTCTCGATCTCTTGACCTTGTGATCCACCCGCCTCAGCCTCCCAAAGTGCTGGGATTACAGGCTTGAGCCACTGTGCCCAGCTCCATCAAATTCTTGACAGGTCTGTGACCCCTTTGATTCCTTAAGCATCAACTATGTTTTACTGAGCCAAATAGGACTAAAGGGCTTCCTTCAGCAGATGTATAGTAGATAGATCGGTAGATAGATGATAGATTGATAGATGATTGATTGATAGATCTATATATCTATATTTATAATACATCTACATCTATATAAGCTGAAAAATTTTCCATATTTTATATATCCTGTAAAACTAAGTACAGGGAAGGAAGTGGTATTTTCAGGCAATCATATAGGTCTTTTGATGGCTAAAGATCCCTTTCACACTCACACTAGATTTCATGCATAAGGTCCCTGATACTCATTTTGTCTTTCATATCCTTAGTTGCTGCCACTACTACTCTACTGATTGAGATCTATTCTTCTCCCCAAAGCTGGCCATGGAGTGGACTACAGTATCCCACTTCCCCTCTTGCTGGATGCAAAGATAAGCCTTTGGGTCATTTTGGTTTAATTTAGAGATTCACTAGTAATCTTTGCAGAAAAAAAAATAATAGACATTGAGCAATTATATAGTTCTTATAATCCTGGTCCTGATCAATAATTTCCAAACATTTCCAAATAGTAACTGGAAGCTCTTTAGGTTAATACTTAGGCTTTTATTCCTGTGGGTAGGAGCTTACATACAGTGACTGCTATGTGCTACTGGAGAATGATCTTTTAAGCAGAGACAATCTTTCATTGCTCCTGTAGAAACTGGATGCCTTCCATTTTCTTTTTTCTCCCTTTCTTTGTGTGTATGCACCCCCACACAGAAACACATACATATATACACATACCTCATTTGATCCTGCTTTAGAAAACACTTTTCTTGATGCCCCTCTTCCAACCAGGTGAATTTTGTCATGGCAGAATTACTTCTGCCTCCTTACTTCAGGTGGCCTCTGTTCAGAGGCTCTTCAGGCTGTTCCTGGGCCTTTGTCTGGTTGTAAGAACAGACATGGAGTCAAAGCCAATTCCCCTTCCTCACATTACCACTCACACACAAACTCTAACCTATACATTAACTGGTTGCTTACTGGGTTCACAATCTTTATTTGTAATTTAGTTTGAATACTTTAATTATATGACTAAGTTAACAGGATGCTGAACATGGATGACTCTTCAGGGAACAAAAGTTCTAAATGGGGTGAAGGGAAGAAAGCAAGTCTGAATGAAGGTGGAATAAGTGAGATAATAAGAAAGCAACAAATGCCCTGGCTATTAAAGGATAATTGGCAGTAATTATAGCCAAGTTCTCCACTTTGCTGCTGAGGAATTATCTTTTAAGCAGAGACAATCTTTCATTGCTCCTTTGGACACTGGATGCTTTCTGTTTTCTTTTTTCTCTCTTTCTTTGCTTGTAAATAATTCCTTAAAAAGCTTAAGTGGGCCAGGTGTGGTGGCTCACGCCTGTCATCCCAGCCCTTTGGGAGGCCGAGGCGGGTGGATCACTTGAGGCCAGGAGTTTGAGACCAGTCTGGCCAACATGGTGAGACCACCATCTCTACTAAAACTACAAAAATTAGCCAGGCATGGTGGTGAGTGCCCATAATCCCAGCTACTTGGGAGGCTGAAGCAAGAGAATTGCTAGAACCCGGGAGGCAGAGGTTGCAGTGAGCTGAGATCGCACCACTGCACTACAGCCTGGGCGAGAGAGCAAGGTCCTGCCTCAATAAACAAAGAAAAGCTTAAGTGTATTTCCAGTCAGATAGCAAATTACCCTTTCATACACTCCCTCTGTTTTATACATATTTTATAATAGGTTAAGTGGGAAGAAAGATAGAGATGGGGCTGGGCGCGGTGGCTCACACCTGTAATCCCAGCACTTTGGGAGGCCGAGGCAGGTGGATCACAAGGTCAACAGATCGAGACCATCCTGGTCAACATGGTGAAACCCCGTCTCTACTAAAAATACAGAACATTAGCTGGGCATGGTGGCGTGTGCCTGTAGTCCCAGCTACTCAGGAGGCTGAGGCAGGAGAATTGCCTGAACCCAGGAGGCAGAGGTTGCGGTGAGCCGAGATCACGCCATTGCACGCCAGCCTGGGTAACAAGAGTGAAACTCCATCTCATAAAAACAAACAAACAAACAAACAAAAAACGATAGAGATGGGAAGTGGGGGAAGAAGAAAGAAGTATAGTCCAGTTAAAATAAGACAAACATTTTCATAGACTGGAAAAAAAAAAAAGCAACTAATGCTATGATTCAAGCTAAGCCCTAGACTTCACAGGCTCTAAGTCCCAAAGAAAGCATAGATGAACAAGGAGATAGCTCCTATCAGGTGAAAGGGACTAAAAGTGCTTCTCAAGAAAGAGACTGAAGCTAGCTTCACAACCCTACATCGAAGAAGAGCTCTAGAAAAGAAGCTAAACAAAAACTGCTGCCCAGCACTAACTAGCTTATCTGGAACTGCAGACCTAAAGAGGGAGAAGCACACAAATATAACCTTGCTAAACTAAGCAGCCTGTTGGCTCATTAACTGTGTCTGTGATATTCCTTGGTAACATAATAGAACAGAAAATCTGAAATACCACATTTAGAGACCTGATTCTGGACTGAGGCCTTTGGCCAATGTAAGGAAACCCCAAAACTACCAGGTATGATAGAATAAGAAGAGAGGGAGAAACAAAAACAAATAAACCAAATGTGCCTACAAACAGAAATTCCAAACATGTAAATAAATGTTCAGCCAGGGGCTGGGCGCGGTGGCTCACACCTGTAATCCCAGAACTTCGGGAGGTCGATGTGGGCGGATCACCTGAGGTCAAGAGTTCAAGACCAGCCTGACCAACATGGAGAAACCCCATCTCCACTAAAAATACAAAAATTAGGAAGGCGTGGTGGTACATGCTTGTAATCCCAGCTACTGGGGAGGCTGAGGCAGGAGAATCACTTGAACCTGGGAGGTTGAGGTTGTGGTGAGCCAAGATGGTGCCATTGCAGTCCAGCCTGGGCAACAAGAGCGAAACTCTATCTCAAAAAAAGAAATGTTCAGTAGGCATGGTGGCTCATGCCTGTAATCACAGCATGTTGGGAGGTCAAGGCAAGAGGATTGCTTTAGCTCAGTAGTTTGAGACCAGCCCTGACAACATAATGATATCCTATCTCTACAAAAATTTTAAAAATTAGCTGGGTGTGATGGTGCACTCCTGTAGTCCTAAGAGCTTGGGAAGTCCTGTAGTTTTCGAATCCTTGAGCCTGGGAGGTCAGGGCTTCAATGACCATGGTCATGCCACTGGCCTTCCAGCCTGGAAAACAGAGCAAGACCCTGTTGCAAAAAAAAAAAAAAAAGTTCAGAAAAAATTAACAAAGTCAACAATAGGAATATGAATTCATTCTAGATTAATTTGGGGTATAATGTGATAAAGACTAAGTATTCTTAGGATGCACAAACAGATATATGACAGAATCATAAATTAAAAAGAACCAAAACCATGAAACAAAAATAGGTAGAAATAAAACAAGAACAGGTTTAAATAAAAAAGAACCAAGAGGCCAGGTGTGGTGGCTCACGCCTGTAATCCCCACACTTTGGGAGGCGGAGGTGGGTGGATCACAAGGTCAAGAGATTGAGACTATCCTGGCCAACATGATGAAACCCTATCTCTACTAAAAATACAAAAATTAGCTGGGCGTGGTGGCACGCGCCTGTGGTCCCAGCTACTTGGGACGCTGAGGCAGGAGAATTGCTTAAACCCAGGAGGCACGGTGAGCCTAGAGTGCGCCACTGCACTCCAGCCTGGCACCTGGTGACAGAGCGAGACTCTGTCTCAAAAAAAAAAAAAAAAAAAAAAAAAAGAATGAAGAACCAATTATAAATCATTAAAATGGAAAAGTGGTAATTGGAATAAAAAATCCAATAGGATAAAATGTAGATAGCACAAGCAACAGAGAGAAACTATTCTATGTTTAGATCTATCTAGAACATTTACAAAAATTGATGAAATACTATATAGTTTCATTAAATGTCAAAGGATATATCAGTCCATGCATCCTGACAATAATGAAATTAAATTAGAACTCAATAATGAGAGTGATTAAAAAAAAAAATACTTGGCCGGGCCTTGTGGCTCATCCATGTAATCCCAGCACTTTGGGAGGCTGAGGTGGATGGATTGCTTGAGGCCAGGAGTTTGAGATCAGCCTGGCCAACATGGCAAAACCCCATCTCTACCCAAAAAAAAAAAAAAAAAAAAAAAAAAATTAGCTGGGTGCAATGGCAGATGCCTGTAGTACCAGCTACTTGGGAGGCTAAAGCACGAGAATCGCTTGAGCCTGGGAGGAAGAGTATGTAGTGAGCTGAGATCATGTCACTGCACTCCAGCCTGGGTGATAGAGCGAGACTGTTTCAAAACAAAAAAACAAAGATAAAGCTCTACATCTTTTAGCACAAAATAATGCTTCCTAAAATAATGAGGTAAAAGGAAATCACGATGGAAATAATAAAATATTTAGAACTAAACAACCATGAAAGAATTATTGTAACCAAAATGCATAGATAAATTAAAAATAAAACCAACAAAAATAGTTTAGAATAAATGAGTTATGCATTCAATTCATGAACCTGTAAAAGAATAACTAGAAAAGCCAAAAGAAGGAAGAACATTTTTAAAGTAAACTTTGTAAAAATATGAAAAAAACCTTAAGGTTCAAGTGATAGCCTAAAATCTAGTTCTTTGGACAAAAACTAAATGAAAGGCAAACTATAAATAAGCTCAATTAAGAAAAAAAAAAAAAGAGAGAGAGAGAGAGAAAGCATGAAAAGGGCACAACTAAAGTATATACATAGATATAATATTTATATATACATTACTCAGGCATAGTTTATTGTTTACATCTTCTGTTTCTTTACTACTCTTTGTTGTTGTTGTTTTTGAGATGGAGTCTTGCTCTGTCTCCCAGGCTGGAGTGCAATAGCATCATCTTGGCTCACTATAGCCTCCACCTCCTGGGTTCAAGTGATTCTCCTGCCTCAGCCTCCCTAGTTGCTGGGATTACAGGAAGTCACCATCACACCCGGCTAATTTTTGTATTTTTAATAGAGACGGGGTTTTACCATGTTGGCCAGGCTGGTCTCGAACTCCAGCTTCAAGTGATCTACCCGCCTCGGCCTCCCAAAGTGCTGAGATTACAGGTCTAAGCCACCGCGCCCCACCATCTTTACTACTCTTTATGTTTTTCTGTGTTGAGTCTCCCATGATAGCTTCACGTTTTAAATTTTTTCCTTGTAATACTATCAAAGTCTGCTTACTATTTTGAATCTACATCCAAATTAACCTGTGGATTCAACACAATTCACAACAAAAAATCTCAGAGATTTTTTTTTTCCTGTGGAAAATGAATAAGAACCAGTTCCCCAAATTCAGGATGGCTCATTCTGTCATCTTTGCAAAGGGCCCAGAAGGGCCAAGATAATTGTGAAAAACAAAAGAAAGGGGACATTTACACTTCCTGATGTGAAGATGACTTATTAAACTATTGTAATTAAGACTGTGGAAGTCGGGTGAGTGGCTCACATCTATAATCTCAACTATTTGGGAGGTTGAGGCAGGAGGATCACTTAAGGACAGGAGTTCAAAACCAGCCTGAACAACAAACACAATGACATGTTTCTCCCTCTTTTTTAAAAAAAAAAAAAAAAAAAAAAAAAGATAGTGTAGTACTGGCACAGGATTACACAAACAAACAGAACAGAATAGAAAGCTTAGAAGTATAGGAAAGCCTAGAAATACAGAAGAAACATTAAAAAAGCATAATGAGGAAGCTATGGACTGTCTACCTAAGGGGCTGATATGGCTAGTTAAATAGGGGAAAAACATGAAACTACAACCTGCTTTGTGATCTTCTTGTTTTTAAGTTCCAAAAGATGAAAGGCCTATATGTAAAAAGCAAACTTTAGGAACCTTCACTGGCCAATCTGGAGGAAATCTGAGCATCAAAAAGAATAATGAAAGTAACAGATTATTATACTTTAAATTTTGTGGGTTTTTTTTTTTTTTTTTTTTTTTTTGAGACAGAGTTTCAGTTTTGTTGCCCAGGCTAGAGTGCAATGGCACCATCTTGACTCATCACAACTTCCACCTTCCAGGTTCAAACGATTCTCCTGCCTCAGCCTCCCTAGTAGCTGGGATTACAGGCATGTACCACCATGCCCTGCTAATTTTGTATTTTTAGTAGAGATGGGGTTTCTCCATGTTGGTCAGGCTGGTTTCAAACTTTCGACCTCCGGTGATCCACTCACCTAAGCCTCCCAAAGTGCTGGGATTATAGGCGTGAGCCACTGCATCCAGCCACACTATGAATTAAAAAAAAAAAAAATCCATGTGTCCACAGTGACACTCCACAAAAGACAGAATCAATGAAAAAGGAAAAAAAGCAGAGGTAGACTTTTTTTTATAGAAGAATGCCGGCTAATCAGTATAGAAGGAACGATAGTAATTGAAAATCATTATTTTATAATCCCCAACATAATTAAGGCAAGGATCACTGATAGGTCATTATTAAATGGTTATTTGGAAACAGGGTATCAAATTATCACTCCATTAAATATTTATTAGTTTCAAAGAGGAAATGTACCTTTGCAATCAAAATATTTGATAATCACAATCTTAACTAAGTGGTTGTCATAGCCTTTTTTTTTTTTTTTTGAGATAGGGTCTTGCTGTGTTGCCCATGCTGATGTGCAGTGGTGCAATCACAGCTTACTGCAGCCTTGAACTCCTGGCCTCAAGTAATCTTCTGCCTGAGCCTGCCAAAGTGCTGGGATTGAAGGTGTGAGCCACCACACCTAGCACATCCTGTGTCTTTAGATATGATACAGTAGGAGGTATACACTGTGTGGTGTTTTGCTAGGAATGTCTGACTTGAATCTAATGATAAATAGTCACACAAAAATCCAGACTATGGGACAGTCTACAAGATGACTGGCCACTATTTAAGGATTTAATATTTTGAGGAGCAGAAGAAGGTAATAGTATTGTTTAAACTGAAGGAGACTACAGGCATATAACAGTCAGATAAAATCCATTAAATCTGGACTTTCAAAAAATGTATATACCGAGAAGCCGATAAGCTCTTCTTCGCTGGTTGTTGCATGTCTAAAGGCTGAGCCGCCCCAAAGCTAGGATGCCAGGTGGAAGCTGAAGCCGCACCTCCTGCCTGGCCCCTCTGGCCAGTTGGGCCCCTCAGATAACTGCGCCCAGGCCAGCACCAGCTGCTCAGCCACCAGCAGCAGCACCCCCATCTGTAGTTGGCTCTCCTGCTGCTGCACCCCGGCAGCCAGGTCTGCTGGCCCAGATGGCAACCACTGCAGCTGGCGTGGCTGTGGGCTCTCCTGTGGGGCACACACTGGGCCAGGCCATTACTGGGGGCTTCAGTGGAGGAAGTAATCCTGAGCCTGTGAGGCCTGACATCACTTACCAGGAGCCTCAGGGAACCCAGGTGGCGCAGCAGCAGCAGCCTTGCTTCTGTGAGATCAAACAGTTTTTGGAGTATGCCCAGAACCATCGTGACATCAAGCTCTGTGAGGGTTTCAGTGAGGTACTGAAACAGTGTGGACTTGCAAACAGATTGGCCTAATCAAGAAGTTCAACCTGGAGAAATGGAAAACCAGCTCTTATAACCAAGTTAATTTAATATAAAATTTAATTAATAGTGAAGGTATAAAGTGTAGCCATCAGTTAAACCTCTCCTGTCATTCCTAGCTTCCTTGCTTCAGAATTGAAATAGAAGGGGGTGTTCCTACTCTGTTGAATTTGGAGCTGGTCAAATGTTTGTGTGGCCTCCTTAAACTAGCTGTTATGATTTTATTCTTTGTGAGTTAATTAGAATAAAGTGATTTTCAAAAAAAAATATATATAAGCCTTTTTCTTTGACAATTTAGGAAATCTGAGTATGTAAAGAATGTTGGAAGTTGTGTTGAATTAATGTTTTTTCCCCCCTCAGGTGTGGTAATGATGCTATCAATATGTAGGAGAATGTCATTGTTTCCTGGGAAATATGCTGAAATTATTTATTTATTTATTTAATTTTTTTTGAGACATTGTCTCGCTCCGTCCTCCAGCCTGGAGTGAAGTGGCCTGATCTTAGCTCACTGCAACCTCTGCTTCCTGGGTTCAAGCGATTCTTGCACCTCAGATTCCCAAGTAGCTGGAATTACAGGCATGCACCACCACACCCGGCTAATTTTTGTATTTTTAGTAGAGACATGGTTTCACCGTGTTGGCCACGCTGGTCTCAAACTCCTGACTTCAAATGATCTGTCCACCTCAGCCTTCCAAAGTGCTGGGATTACAGGTGTAAGCCACTGTGCCCTGCCAAGATACACTGAAATATTTAGAGGTAAAATATCACAATGCCTACAGTCACTTTCAGACGGTTTGTCAAAAAGGAAAAAATATACATAGAAACAGAGAGAGAGTGAATGTGTCAAGATGTTAATAGCTGATAAATATAGGTAAGAGGTATAACAGTATTCATTTGACTGTTCAACATTTCTCTGGGTTTGAAATTCTGCAAAATAAATAAGAACATTTTTGAAGATAGAAAATCAGAGAATAATAATAAAACAGTTTTATGAATTTAGTTGTTCTTAAGAGAAACAGCATTTACAAACCACAACAAAAAAATCTTGTTAAATTTTACTGTTTTAAAACTAAAACTTTGGCTGGACATGGTGGTTCATGCCTATAATCCCAACACTTTGGGAGGCTGAGGTGGGTGGATCACCTGACATCAGGAGTTTGAGACCAGCCTGACCAATACGGTGAAATCCCATCTCTACTAAAAATACAAAAATCAGCCAGGTATGGTGGTGTGCATCTGTAGTGCCAGCTACTCAGCAGGCTGAGACAGGAGAATTGCTTGAACCCAGGAGGTGGAGGTTGCAGTGAGCCAAGATCACACCACTGCACTCCAATCTGGGCAACAGGGCAAGACTCCATCTCAAAACAAAACAAAGAAACAAAACAAAACAGAACACCAACAACAAAAAAACCCCTAAAATTTCTATGCTACAAAATATAAAGCAGTAAAAGAGATAAGCTGGCCTGTAAAAAGATATTTACTATATATAATGAACAAAGGATCAGTATCTAGAATATATAAGTAAATTCTATGCAAAGAAAAATGAGGGATGGGACCAAATTACCCAATAGAAAAATTAGTACATGGGCCAGGTGTGGTAGCTCATGCCTGTAACTGAAGCACTTTGAGAGGCCAAGGCAGGAAAATGAGCCAGATGTGGTGGTGCATGCCTGTAGTCTCAGCTACTCAGGAGGCCAAGGAGAGAGGATTGCTTGAGCCCAGGAGGTCAAGGCTACAGTGAACTACTATAACAGTAGTTATTATTATACTACTGGCTAACAGAGAGAGACCCCAACTCTAAAAAATAAGAGAGAGAGAGAGAGAAAAAGGAAGATTGGCAAAGAATCTGCATAATCAATTTACAAAAGGAAACCCAAATGGCTAATAACACAAGAAAGATGTTTGCTAAATTAAAAATTTTAATTAGGGAAGTAAAAAAACACTAACAATAAAATGTTATAATAAAATTTTAATACACGTTATGAGATTATTAATACAATGTTATAGTAAAATGTGTAAATACATAATACAATTATTATATTTAAAAGGCTCATATTATCAAACTTTTTTTCTTATCTTCTGATAAAATAGGAATTTTTTTTTTTTTTTTTTTTTTTTTTTTGAGGTGGAGTTTCACTCTTGTTACCCAGGCTGGAGTGCAATGGCGCGATCTCGGCTCACCGCAACCTCCGCCTCCTGGGTTCAGGCAATTCTCCTGCCTCAGCCTCCCGAGTAGCTGGGATTACAGGCACACCCCACCATGCCCAGCTAATGTTTTGTATTTTTAGTAGAGACGGGGTTTCACCATGTTGACCAGGATGGTCTCGATCTCTTGACCTTGTGATCCACCCACCTCGGCCTCCCAAAGTGCTGGGATTACAGGCTTGAGCCACCGTGCCTGGCTAAAATAGGAATTTTTATATACTGCTGGTGGGAGTACACACTGGTTAAAAAACATTTTAGGCCAGGTGCAGTAGCTTATGCCTGTAATCACAACATTTTTGGAGGGTGAGGTAGGAGGGTCACTTGAGTTTAGGAGTTCAAGACCAGGCTGGGCAACATAGTGAGACCACATCTCTACTAAAAAGAAAAATAGTTAGCCAGGCATGGTGGTGCACACCTGTATTCCCAGATAACTTGGGAGGCTGAAGCAGGAGGATTGCTTGAGCTCAGAAGTTGAAACTCTCCACTGCACTCCAGCCTGGGTAACAGAGTGAAACCCTGTCTCAAAAAAAAAAAAAAAAAAATAGAAATTAATTCCTTAACACTTAGTAATCTAGGAGATACATATATCTTATGACTCAGCAATTATATCTCTAGATAGTTTCATTTCCTACTGTTCTCTCTCTTCCTCATGGTGCTTCAGTCACATTGCCTTCCTTGTGGTTCCTTGATCCTTTCAAGCAAGTGCCCATCTTGGGGCTTTTTCATTCACTGTTCTCTCCACTAATCTTAATTCTTTACTTTTTTCAGGACTCTGATCAAGTGTCACCTTTTCAGAAAAGCCTTTCCTGACCCGCCCTATTTTAAATAGTACTCCATCCCTTCATTCTCTATGCCTTTAACTTGCTTTATGTATTTGATATATATTAATTTACTTTCTGTCTCCCACCCTTCCTGATGGTAGATTGGATCATTGTTTTCACTTCTTTTTTTTTTTTTTTTTTTTTTTTTTTTTTTTTTTTTTTTTCTGAGACGGAGTTTCGCTCTTGTTAACCAGGCTGGAGTGCAATGGCGCGATCTCGGCTCACCGCAACCTCCGCCTCCTGGGTTCAGGCAATTCTCCTGCCTCAGCCTCCTGAGTAGCTCGGATTACAGGCATGTGCCACCATGCCCAGCTAATTTTTTGTATTTTTAGTAGAGACGGGGTTTCACCATATTGACCAGGATGGTCTCGATCTCTTGACCTCGTGATCCACCCGCCTCGGCCTCCCAAAGTGCTGGGATTACAGGCTTGAGCCACCGCGCCCGGCCTGTTTTCACTTCTTAAAAAAAATTGTTTTTTAATTGAGATGGGGTCTTACTTTTTTGCCCAGGCTGGTCTTGAACTTCTGAGCTAAGGCAATCCTCCCAGCTCAGTCTACCAAAATGCTGGGATTATAGGAGTGAGCCACCACACCTGGCCCATCGTTCTAAATTCTTGACTGCCCCAGTCTAATATTAGATTATCCAGCCATGCCCTTTACAATGTGACTTTGCAAAGCCTCCACTATAGTTGATGGAATATATTTCTCTGCTCCCTTGATATTAGGCATAGCATAGCATGCTTTGGCTAATGGAACATAAGCAGAAGGGGCTGTGAAAATCCTGTATTTTACACAGGCATTATGTATTTCTACCTACCTCTCTTGTACTTCTGTCACCCACTGTGGGAAGAATGTATCTCAGGTAGGCAACTTGTCCTAGAATGATGAAGACATGTGAAGCAGGCACAAACTTGATCAAAGATTGGAGTCCAACTTTGCCCAGCCAAACATAGACAAACCCAGCCAAGATCAGCCAAACTTTGTCTGATCTGCAGACCTGTGAGTGAGAAAAATAAATGTCTGTTACTGTATGCTACTGAGAACATTTGAAGTATTTATTGTGCAGCATTGTTGCAGCAATGCAGCTGACTAACATATACCCCCCTAGAATGTAAACTTCAGGACAGAGGTGTTTTACAGTTTTGTTCACTGGTGTTTACTCAATGAGTTGAACAATGTCTAGTATGTATGCATGGGTGTTTAACAAATATTTGTTGAACAAACTAATTAATGCATTTGTGCTAAAGCCATAAAACTACTTATAATCCCAAAGGGCAAGGCAATGGTTCAAATATGCAAAGAAACAGATATAATTGGCTCTGTGATAAATGTAGTCAGAGTTAGCACCAATGTATAGTGAATGCCCCCTGCTATCAAATGAACAAGCAGCTTAAACTGGCAATAGATATATATGAAACCAAAGAATAATTGATAAGAGGATCAGAAATAGAAGGTTCCACAACAAAATAGATATTTACTCAAATACTACTGTTGGAAATAGATGCTCAGTGCTGCAAAGAAAAATTTGCACTGAGACAAAGGATCTTTAGACAATGCAGTTTTTACTTCCTGGGCTGCAGGAAGGGTACTCTCACTAGCCATCTTGCCACGAGAGTACAATGAATAAAGGAAAACAGACAAATTTATCCCTTATGCATTTGGGGTTGTCCTTACTGCTGTGTCTGATCTCCATTGGCTGGAGTCAGACCTCACATCTAAACTAAAACCTGATTGGCTAACAACTTAAAACTTTTTTTAAACAGGTAAAAGCAATGGAGAGCTGGGACATGCCTGTGAGCAGCACAGATATCGTGGTTAAAATACAAGGACATAGAGTGTACTATGTGCCTGCAAGCATGGCATGTCTAACAGCTACATAGGATAGCGCCTAACAAAGTTATTAGCACACTTACTCTTTAACAAGAAAAGAAACTTTAAAAAGGAACTTTTCCACTTCCCACAATTATTATCATTTCTGAATTGGAGACTATTTTCAAAAACAGATGGGGCATCAGCCCAGTGTCCCACAGAATAAAGGAAATGGCTATTGTCATCCATGAGCTGGCTGGTGGCAAACATAGAAGTTAAGAGGCCTTATAAAAGAGCCCAACATATACAGATAAATCAGGGGAGCAAATGTTAAAGTATAAGAGAAAAAGTGAGTTCAGGCAGAGTATAAGGTGTTTTTGAACTATTGTTAACTTTTCTCTTAAGTATGAAATTATTTCCTGATTTTTTGTAACAAGTAAGAAATGGTGGCTGGATGCAGTGGCTCACAACTGTAATCCCAGCTTTGGAAGGCTGAGGTGGGTGGATCACGTGAGGTCAGGAGTTTGAGACCAGCCTGCCCCAACATAGCAAAACCCCATCTCCACTAAAAATACAAAAATTAGCCGGGCATGGTGGAGCACACCTGTAATCCCAGCTACTACCAAGGCTGAGACAGGACAATTGCTTGAACCTGGGAGACAGAGGTAGCAGTGAGCCGAGATAGATGACGCCACTGTATTCCAGCCTGGATGACAGAGCAAGATTCCATCTCAAAAAAAAAAAAAAAAAAAAGGTTTGTTCCAGTATTTCCAGAAAGAAGCCAAATACGATTAATCCTAAACATGACAACTTTTGTGGTCTTGAATTACTTAGGTAGCAATTGTCTAGTTTTTATGTGGTGGGACAATGGTACATATATTGCCAGAATGACCATAGGCAGATTGCTTCCCACCAGAATGATCTTCTCCTGTCTGCTGTTTGTACATTCTTTTCTTTTCTTTTTCTTTTCTTTTTTTTTTTTTCTTTTTTTTTTTTTTGAGACAGAGTCTTGCACTGTTGCCTAGGCTGCAGTGCAGTGGCATGATCCTGGCTCACTTGGCTTGACTACAGGTGTGTGCCACCATGCCCAGCTAATTTTGTATTTTTAGTAGAGACGGGGTTTCACCATGTTGGCCAGGATGGTCTCGATCTCCTGACCTCGTGATTTGCCTGTCTTGGCCTCCCAAAGTGCTGAGATTACAGGCATAAGCCACCACACCTGGCCCTGTATGTTCTTTACACTGTCCTTTGACATAACTGGAGGTATGCTGAGGAACTATCAGACTGTTTCTCTTGGAAGTTTATCATCTCCCTTAGGTGTAGTGATTAAGAACCACTAAAGTTTTGAGCAAGTAGTAGCTTCTGCCTCTTTAGTTGGGTGTCCAATGTCCAGAAGTCAATCCTAGACAAAGATTCAAGTAAATTTAGGTTATTTCAAAGGTACAAATGGAATGGTGTGGGGAGTTGATGCCCCAATTGGCATCAATACTTCTTCCTTTTCATACTTTTATCTCCATCTCAATACTTCTTCCTTCTTAATTTTTTTTTTTTTTTTTGAGATGGAGTTTCGCTCTTGTTACCCAGGCTGGAGTACAATGGCGCTATCTTGGCTCACCGCAACCTCCGCCCCCTGGGTTCAAGCAATTCTCCTGCCTCAGCCTCCTGAGTAGCTGGGATTACAGGCACGTGCCACCATGCCCAGCTAATTTTTTTGTATCTTTAGTAGAGACGGTGTTTCACCATGTTGACCAGGATGGTCTCGATCTCTTGACCTCGTGATCCACCCGCCTCAGCATCCCAAAGTGCTGGGATTACAGGCTTGAGCCACCGCGCCCGGCCCTTCCTTCTTAATTTTATCTCCATCTCAGGATGCTAAGTCAAACAGAAGGTGGGAAAGAGGAGAGGGGAAGTGAGGAAAGTAAAAAAGGCAACCAATAAAGGATGCATTACCAAGCTTGCTGCCACTATGGTCAATAAGAGCTTAATCCTGCAGAGATAATGGGAGCAACATAAAATCCATGCTTCAGAGTTATACCTCCCACACACAGGGGCAGGGATCTGCTTGAGGGCTACTCAGAGCCAGATATTAATTCCCTAGAACATCTGGGCCAGCTTAGGGAGAGAATCCTTTCCTGGCTCCAGCGAAAGTCTTTAGGAAAACAGATGCAGATGTTAGCTACTGGAAGTCTGCCAGAAAACATGCAAGCGTTAAGGCCCACAGAATATAGGTAGAGAACTGGGTCTAGGAAGGTCTATAGGACATTCACTGGCGAGCAAAGGACCTAACTAGCACTAGCGCCCAGAAAGGTAACTCAAATTAAAGATGCTATACAGTGCTCTTGACAAATAGACATCAACTACCTTAGTTGAAACTAGAATGCTACTACTTAGGACATTGACATTCCATCTGTAACTACTTTATTACATAAAGATTCATCCTGTTTTCTACCACATTATACAATACCTGGCCCCAAATACTCCTTTTTCTCATATTGTGTTCAGTCCTGTCAATCTGAAATGAAGAACAAGAGTGTGAAATGGGAGAAAGTACTGATCCTGGCTGGGCATGGTGGCTCACGCCTGTAATCCCAGCACTTTCTGAGGCTGAGGCGGGTGGATCACTTGAGGCCAGGAGTTCAAGACCAGCCTGGCCAATATGGTGAAGCACCATCTCTACTAAAAATACAAAATTAGCCAAGTGTGGTGGTGTATGCCTGTAATCCCAGCTACTCGGAAGGCTGAGGTGGGAGAATTGCTTGAACTGAGAGGCGGAGACTGCAGTGGGCCAAGACTGCATCATTGCACTCCAGCTTGGGTGACAGAGGGAGACTCTGTCTCAAAAAAAAGAAAAAGAAAATATTGATGCCATTTAGAGCATTAAGTTCAGCTTCCATCAATGATATACTGGGAAAGAGATGAGCTAGAAAAATGAGAAACTGCCTCCTATGTGAATAACCACTAAGAAAATCCTACTAGGCAGTCTAGGAAAACTTTGCTACTTCATACAAGGAGGTGGGAGCTAGTCTCATTCTTGGATCATTGATACTGATCTACCAGTCTATATACAATGTCCACATCGTGTTTACCACTCAGAAATACTGAATAATTGAATGAAGCTAAATAAGTGACCAAAACCTAGATCTTGTAGGACTTTACCAATTTATTCCAACAGGTTAGGATTTTACTTTATATCAATGGGGAGTAATGAGAGTATTTTAATCAAAAGAGAGACATAATCGGATTTGCTTTTTAGAGGCCTTAATCTTGGTAACTTGGTAACTTGGTGAAGAATAAACTGAAGAAAAGCAAGCCTGGTAGCAGAAAGACCAGGTAAAAAGGTGCTACAGAAATCCAGGACAGACACAGCAAAGAGATGGTCTAAGGAAGTGGAAACAGACATACAGGGTAGGTTTGAAAACTTTAAAAAGTTAGAACTGGCAAGACACGTGATTGAGTGGGGGGAATTAAGAAAAGGAGTGGGTGCAGGATGGAGAGAAAGAAGATTATTACATTTCATTTTTTTTTTTTTTTTTTTTTTTTTGAGATGGAGTTTTGCTCTTGTTACCCAGGCTGGAGTGCAATGGCGCGATCTCGGCTCACCGCAACCTCCGCCTCCTGGGTTCAAGCAATTCTCCTGCCTCAGCCTCCTGAGTAGCTGGGATTACAGGCATGTGCCACCATGCCCAGCTAATTTTTTGTATTTTTAGTAGAGACGGGGTTTCACCATGTTCACCAGGATGGTCTCGATCTCTTGACCTCGTGATCCACCCACCTCGGCCTCCCAAAGTGCTGGGATTACAGGCGTGAGCCACTGCGCCCGGCCTAAAAATTTAATCTTAATCTATATACTGGGTATATATCCAAAGGATTATAAATTGTTCTACTATAAGGACACATGCACACGAATGTTCACTGCAGCACTGTTTACAATAGCAAAGACTTGGAACCAACCCAAATGCCCATCAATGATAGACCAGACAGGGAAAATGTGGCACATATACACCATGGAATACTATGCAGCCATAAAAAACAATGAGTTCGTGTCCTTCGGAGGGACATGGATGAACCTGGAAACTATCATTCTCAGCAAACTGACACAAGAACAGAAAATCAAACACCGCATGTTCTCACTCATAGATGGGTATTGAACAATGAGAATACATGGACACAGGGAGGGGAGCATCACAC